TCACGCGGGGGCGGCGCCGCATGTACAGCGCGCCACACCCCTTCGGGCCGTAGACCTTGTGTGAAGACATCGACATAAGGTCGATGTTATCGCGCTCCACGTCAATGGGCACTTTGCCCAACGCCTGCGCGGCATCAGTGTGGAAGAGGACCTTCTTACTGCGGCAAATCTTACCAATCTCGCTGATCGGCTGGATAACACCAATCTCGTTGTGCACATACATGCAGGAAACGAGGGCGGTCGTGGGACGGATGGCAGCTTCGAGCTTCTGCAGATTAACGAGACCATTCTTTTCCACTGGAAGGTATGTCACCTCAAAGCCATCCATCTCCAAGTAGCGGCAGGAGTCCAGCACGCACTTGTGCTCTGTCTGCAGTGTCACAACGTGATTCTTTTTGTCCTTATTGTAATTGGCCACGCCCTTGATGGCAATATTGTTTGACTCGGTTGCGCCGCTAGTGAAGAACACGCCCTTGGGGCTGGTGCCGATGAGGTCAGCCACCTGAGCACGTGCCTTCTCCACCGCGTCCTCCGCCTCCCATCCGTAGCTATGCGTGCGGCTGTGGGGATTTCCGTAGAGTTCCGTCAGGTACGGCAGCATCTTGTCGAGCACACGCGGGTCCAGCGGGGTCGTGGCTTGAAAGTCCAAGTAGAGTGGCCGCGGTCTTTTTCTCTTGGACACCGCCGCATTCGCCGCGCAAAGACGACCACAAACCCTCCGAAACATGTATCGTTATGTAGTACGTCCGTTAGAACGTGTGTGCTTCCTTACAAAGCGGAATCNCACACACACACACAGATAGTCAAAAACAATGCTCAAAAAATCAATTACGGCGGAAAGAGCGAAAACCGAATAAAAAACGTACATGAGCAATGCGGGCAGTTGCGTAGTGCAGCCACACACAAACACAAAGACACACACATATATGTATTTATGTATATATGTATATATTATGCATTCACCGTGCAAACAAAAACAATTCCTACGCAGAATTGTCTGAAGTAGTCACCAAGACACCTCGTCTCCCTCAATGGCGTCATCTACCTTTAAGAGACCGGCAAAAACATCGGACAGGCCCATCGACGCCACGACATCCTGAACAGCAGCGCTAAATTCTCGCTGCAGCTCCTCAGTGTCAAGGGAGGACTCACCAGTCTCCAAACCGTGCAAACGCCCACCATGAAGAAACAGGGCATTCAGGGTGGAGAAGACAGTAGAGTCCTGGTGGCTCTCGGCTACGCCACCATCCTTACTATGTTGAATGTGTGCCTCATGCGCCCTCCACAAGGCAAGATCGGTGATACGCAAAAACTGGCGATAGCTGAGCTTCGGTGGATACGCCTGCACCACGTCATTCGATGCCTCCTTGGCTGAAGAAAGAATACCGTAGTGACGCAGGAGCGTCACGAGGTTTTTGCGTTGAATAGGATGGAGGGTCAGTTGCAGGTCATATTCGATGGAGTGCATTAAGCCATAGAACACCTCTTCATCTGACGTGGTTAAAATCAACAGACGCTTTCCAGGGGGCCGTCCCACCGCCGCTCTGCTATGGTGTTGATATGTGGCGGAAGAGACATCTGCAGCCGCCCGGAACTCCTGGATGGCAGCCTTCAGAACATCCGCAGCCGCCGATGCACCGTCGCGAAGGTACCACTCTACATTTTCAACTACAACACCGCAGTTCTCCTTTATGTTGACGGCGTCCCGTAGGGCAGTGAGGATCTGCTCAAGACGGTTGACGCCTGGGTTACCGCTGAGCTCCCCGCCCATCAGGAATTTGGTGACGTCGAATGGCCACAGCCTCATCAGCTGCTGCGTCAGAACAGTTTTCCCTGTTCCTGGTGGGCCGTAGATGACCACAACAGCGGCATGCGTGGCGCGGCTACGGTCGATGCTCCGAAGCAGGCGATGCGTCGCAGCTGTGTTCTGAGTGACGGATCCATCGTAATCAACAAGCGGTACAGCCACACTGTCTTCATTGCCATTCCCCACATACTCGCCTGGCGCCGTCTGCGCCTTCGACCTTAATATATCTCGAATTGCAAGCGTAAGGTCGTCGTTGGTGACCTGAAACTTGCCACCTACGTCGTCAGCGCGTGTGTCACGGTAGCGCATCTGTGCGTAGCTGACAGCCGCCCGAACTGTGCCGGCGAGGTCGGCTCCAGAGAAGCCACCGGTGCCGGCCGCCAGCGCATTCAGATCGATGTCGGGCTCGAGAAAGTTGTTCTCGCGCAGCTCCTGCGTGTGGATCAGTAGCACCTCCGCACGGCCCTCGAGGTCGGGCAGCGGCACCTCAATCACCACCTCGAACCGTCCGGGGCGCAGCAGCGCACGGTCAATGGCGTGCAGCTGGTTGGTGAGGCCGACAACGAGTATGTTCTGTGCGTCGTCCATGCCATCCATGAGCGTCAGCAGCTGGTTCGTCAGGCCATCGTAAACAGCCTTGGCGGAGCTCTCATCCCCTGAGCCCCCACGGCGCCGGAAGAGTGACTCAATCTCGTCGATGATGATGGCGTGCAACCGTCCTCTCACCGCCCTTCTCTCTGTTTCATCGCTCTCCTCTACCGCGTCGTTGTCTGTGTTGTTTTCATCGTCGTCTTCGTCGCCGGATAGAAGGTGCCGCAGGTTCTTTTCAGACTCACCAACGTACTTTGAGAGAACATCGGCGGCGTTCACGATCGTCACCTTTGCGCCTCCACCACCAAGCAGCTTGGTAATCGTGCGAGCAATGAGTGTCTTGCCACTGCCAGGCGGACCGTGGAGCATCACCCCTCGCACATGTGGCAGTTTCAGTGATCCGACCACGCCGCGAAGGGAGGGGGCACGCGAGAGAAAGACACGACGGTACAACTCCTTCAGCTGTTCTTTCAGTCCACCGATGCCAAGCATGAGCCATGCGTGGTCAGATTCCGCCTCGCTATGGCCGGTCTGATAGAGAAGCTCGAAAGGATCACCAATTGCCTCTCCGGCGTCGGTGTCGTCGGCATTCGTTCCGGCCCATGAAGCGTCCGGCGCGAGGCTTATTTGCAGGGCATGATGGAGCACGCCAAGCACGACGGCGCGCTGGCCCTCAGAGTTTGATCCATCCTTTTCCGGCAGCCGCCGCAGTTTGAGGTCCATCCACATCACCTGACTTTTGAGACGTTCCAACCACTCCGGCTTCTTGACCAAACCGACAGCCGGGTGGGTGAGGGTGCAGTATAAGATCTGCTTCGGAAATACGTCTGACGCCCGCACGTTGGCGCAGTCCATCACAACAGGGTCTCTGCCACTTTCCTCACCAGCGCGAAGAGGAAGTGGGCTGTGCTCCTCCAATTGAACATGCAGATGCGCGTCTGTTGGAAAGCCACGTCCACGGAGGACGAGCGTCAGTGGGTGCCTTGATTCTTGGCCCGCGAAACAGCGAAGTGTATCGCGACTCCTACCTGGCCGTGGAGGTCGTTCGCAGCCGCTAATTGAAAGCATCTCAACTACCCTCTCCATTTGATCACTGCTTCGTTTCGGCTGCTGCTTCTGCTGCTGCGAAGATGACAACGGCGACGGCTTTGTGACGCTCTCCGCACTGCATCCGCTCATGGGAAGCGGAAACTGGAGGATGAGGAGGGCGAAAGTAGCGATACACAACCGCCACAACGTGTACGACATTGTGTGTGTGTGCATGCGTGTGCACATCTATGTGGGTACTAGACCTCCCTTCTTGCGTGAGCAGACGCTAGCGGCATTGGTGAAGGGGGAAGCTACATGATGTGTGTGAGGACAGAGACACGACAAAAAGAACATACCAGCTTACGTCACGCACAAGCAGTCCCATCCAACTTCCTGCCGACCCTGTTTCTATCTGCATCCCCTATCCTTCTTCACTTCGACACACCTCGGGGACGCGAAAGTGAGACACCCACACCACATCTTTGCGGCCGGCGCGTGCAGAGACCCCTCCGACGCACACCCGCACACTGCCTTGTGTGCTCTATCCTCGCTTCGCCTTCTTCAGCGACGGTGTGGCGCCGCGGCCGGCGGTAGCAGACAGACGGCGCAGGCACTGCAGCGCCACCACCGTCGGCACGGCGATCCACAGCGAGCTGGGCAGCAACACCATTGTCAGCATGTCCAGCGCGGTGTTGTGGCGCGTATACTTCCCACCCTCCGCGACGTCCAGCGCCAAATACAACACCGTCTTGTAGGCCGTCATGACGCTAACAATGAGCGCAAGTTTTACGCTGCGGCATGCGTCGCCCTTCCACGTGAGCACCACCGAAAAAACACCCAATACAATCTCCAGCAGGTTCAGCCAGCTCTGCACCACAACGAAGGCGTCATCGTTGGGGCCGTAGCGGCGATCGTACGTGGCGTACAACTCCCAGAAGCTGAACGGTGGCGTGTTCGCCAACGGATGTGGCTCGTCCGGCGACGCCGCCCGGGTGAGGACGAATACGGCGTCAATCAGCACAACCGGTGCAGTAAGGAGGAGCCAAAACTGAGCAAGCCGCGTTAATCCTGCCATGATACTTATCTTCTTTGCTTGTCGCTTCTATTGTGCTCACGTCTATTTGTGTACTTGGGCTATAATGCCCTAAATAAGAGCACAAAAGGAAACAATTGCGAACGTGTATTGCTATATTCTGCCATGAACAGGGTCAGCAGCAGCAGCAGCAGGGGAAGGTGCCCGCGCAGAGGACTGGGGCTCTTATTTCGCCTTTTTGTCTGGCATCTATGCGCACGTGGGCCAAGAGCGGGGCCTGGTGGGATCACACCCAAGAGGAAAAAGATACGAGCACCACACACAGAAGGGTGTAGACAGGCGCAACTCATCGCTGCCCTACTCCGCACCCCCCTACTCTAGCCGCGTTCACGTAATCAATTCTTCGCACCACACCCCCGCCTAGCGTCCTCTCCACTAACGGCGGCGCACTGGCGGTGGTATTCCATTCTTCCGAGTGTTTTTCTTGGCGTTTTCCTCTTTATCGTCGTCCTCCTCCTCCTCCTCTTCCTCTTCCTCACCCTCCTCCTCCTCCTCCTCAACCTCATCCTCATCAGAGCCATAGTCCTCCTCCTCAGACTCACCCTCACTCTCCTCATCTTCCTCTTCCTCCTCCTCATCAGGGCCATAGTCCTCCTCCTCCTCCTCAGACTCACCCTCCTCATCGTCATCCTCTTCATCGTCATCCTCCTCATCGTCATCTTCCTCCTCCTTTTCGTCGTCCGTCTTTGTGAATCTGCGGCGGAGGCCGGCCCCCTTGGCGGCCTGCTCGCCATCGCCGTCATGTGGGTTGGCGCCATCGCCCACCGCATCCGCATCCGTAGCCGCAAGATCGTCCTCGGCCCCGTCCTCCTCGGCGTCCGGCAAGTTTTCCGCCTCCGCTGCCACCAGCTCCATCGCATCATCCTCATTCAGATCATTACCACGCATGTGCGGCACGGCCTTGCCGATGCCTGAGGCCACCGCCGCCCCAGCAGCGCCCCCGGCCAGCGCTGCAGCCGCCAGTCCTGCAGCACTACCACCACTATTAGCCCCAGTAGTCGCTGTTTCTGTTGCTGTAGAAGCCGCGTTTGGTGCTGGTGCCACGGCCGATTTCACCACGCCCGCATCGTTTAGGGACTCACTTCTGTAGCGCGGCGCTGTCTCTGCGTACCTCCCGTGGTATGGCTCGCGCGGGCGAACGTTGCCGCGCTCGCGTTTGCGCAGAAGCTCTTGTGCCACCCGTGCGTGGTACTGGTGCTCGATGCCAAACATGTCGCTCAGCACGGCGTCGAGGTGCTTCATGATGAAGATGAGATCGGCCCCCTCGACAACAGCACGAAAGGAGCGGCGATCGCCCAGGTTGTACGTCGTGCCAGGAACAGCCTCCTCCACGTCTTCATCGTCGTCGTCGCACAGCAGCACGTCTTCGTCGGTGTGCGGCTGCCCTGCCATTGGCACCTTCGCCGTCAGCTCCCCGACGAGTGAGAAGGCCGACGGCAGACTAACCGTGGCGCTGCTGGTGCTGCCGTCGCTCGCGCCACCGCGGCCACCCCGTCGCTTCGGCGTCGGCGATACCACGGGTTGCAGCCGCAGCAGCGAGTGCTCTTTGAGCACCTCCACGCTCTGTGCCTTGCCCTCTAGCGCCGCGAGGAGCTGCGCCACATTGTACGGCCGGAGAAACACACGGCCAAATATGTAATCCTCGGGTGTGCATGACGTCGCAGAGAGCTGCTGCGACTTGGGCCTCGCCTTCGCCTCTGCAGTTTCGGCGGCGTCATGGGGGCGGTGAACGCTTAGAACGAGGTGCCGCTGGCGGTCGCTCTTCCACCGCCACAACAGCACCGCCGGGTACGTCACCTTTCCGTTACTGATCTCGATGTGGGTGCGAAGGTCGCGCGTGAAGACTGAGCGGACGCATGTCGCCGCGCGCAGAAGGCCGACGGGGCCTGGAATGCATCGGCGCAACATGCTGCTCAAAGGAACACAGGCCTCTGCTGCGGGTAGAAACGATCTGCGACTGTACGGGAGAATAGGATGCCGATGCTGCCTCTTCGCTAAGCTTGCTGCGGCACGGTGGAGCGGAAAGGAGACGAAAGGACAACACAAAAAGAAAGAAAACAAAAAGGATACACAGGTGCAGGGAGAAGAAACACGGAAGGAGATGTAAGAGGATGGGGAAATCGAGGAGGATGCTTTCCTTCTCTTTCTCTCTCTCTGCTTCTGAGACTCACATATACCCACAAAGACGCACTTGGCAGAGGAAAACGAAAAGAAAATAGTGGATGGGCTCCGACAAGATTGTAAAAAGACAACGCTTAGTCCGTGCATCGTCGTTCCCGTGTCTGTGCGGGCGTGTGAGCACCCACCCGCACCCACATCTCTTTCCTTTTCGATGATAATGGCGTTGCAGTTCTTCCATTCCCTGCTGTGGGAGATAATCTCATCACTGGCGCTGCGGCGACCCTGCGCCGGGCTGCTTCCTGCGCGGGCTGCCGTTGCTCCCTACAGCTGTACTCTTGTCCGGCGCGCCCCCATCAGCGGCACGCGACGCGTAGTGCTGGCGGAATCCGAAGCTCTCCGTGAGCGCGCTCTGCAGGAAGTGCTCCAGCGTGACGGCGAAGTGCTTGTCAAAGCTCACCGACCAGTCTTCCATCTTTGGCGACGCCACGCGGTGCACCTTGCCGTGGAGGCGGTAACCGTCGGCGGCCTTCTCGAAGTCGAGTGTGTAGGCCTTTGTCTCCATGCGGTGCCTCGGCAAGCGGCGCTCGCACACGCTCACCAGGTAGGCGAGGTCGATATGCCGCAGCCGCACTGAAATGCGGCGGTCGGCGTCGAACTGCGGGCTCAGGTCGTTCGGGTCCACCTTGCGGGGCCCGAGCTGCGGGTACTGCGAGATGAGCAGCAGTTTGCCATCGACGGCGACGCGCGTCATGGTGCCCAGCGCAGGGTCGTCGCGCACGTCGTGGATCTCGAACTTCGGCAGCATCTGCACGCCCGCGAAGGCCGTAGCGCGACGGGCCAACTCTGCGCGCACAAGCGGGGTCTTGCCGGATGCGAAGCGCAGCATAAATTAGACTGTTTCTTCCCTTTGCCTCTGTCTCTCTTGTCGTCGTTTTACTATGACCCCTTCTGTGTCAGGTGAAAACCCTATTCCTTTTGCTTTATTAGTGCCGCCCCCCCGATGAATTACTCAACGCCTTGTTTTGGCCTTTCCTTGTTCCCTATCGGTTTGCTGTTCCCTCAGTCGCCTCTCCCTGTGCAGCGGCTTCTCCCTGACGCGTATTTATTATGTATGCCTAGCAATGGGACGTATACCTATCTGTGAAGGGCGTGGGTGAGCGAAGGAGAGAAAGAAGCAGCCTGATGAAACGCTCTACAACCACGAAGCAGAGGCAATGTCATATATATATATATAACAACAGCACCTTAAGCGGCAGGACACACCATTAGAAGCAACAAGGCGTTTAATCGAAAAAAAAAAACGGTATTATTTAATACCTCTTGGCGTTTAACGCCGCACGACACACCAACCATCGTTGTCACGCTCGTAGGTATTCTTCTTGTTCTTCTTGTTGCGCGGCTTCTGTTGTTCCGTCACCATCGGCACATCCAACTCATCATTTCCTTCCTCTTCTTCGTTGGCGGTCTGGTGCAGCTGCACCGCCTCCGCTTCCACCGCCCCGCCGCTCGTGCCGTCGTCACCGGCGTTGACTGAGAGGCGCACCGGATTCACCTGCTGGTACACCGCGAGGCTGGCCACGTACTGCTCCACCAGGCTATAGTCGTTCTGGCAGCAGCGGCAGTACATGTTATGCAGCAGGTCGCCTACCTCCTTCATGCTGTCATCCTCTAGCACCACTGAACGGGCCTCGGCAAAGAAGTTCTCGAAGAATATCTCCAGGTCATCGGAATACACCTCACCGTCCGTCTGAAACCAAGTGATGAGCTCCTGGTACATGGACTGAAGGGCCAGAGCGTCGCAATGCTGAGCAACAAGGTGCAGCGCAGTCCACTGATTCAGCACAGCATCCAAACCACTGACGAAAAGTCGGAATTGCTCCTCCGTCGCGCGGTACGGCTCGCGAATGAGCTGAAAGCCCTGCCCTTGTTGTTGCTGTTGCTGCATGGCACGCTATGCGAGAAGGAAATCCACTACAAACCAAGAGGAAGACATAGAAAGAAAAAAAAAAGCAAACATTCTCCATCCCCCCACACACACACCTGCAACTTTCATGCACCACTGCAAAGACGCCACTACGTGCCCGATTCACTGACTGCAAAACTCTTAAACGGGTGGGAGAAGCCCTTCTTAACAAACTGCATCCTGCTCAGTAAGGTAATCGGCGAGGTGTTCCTGAACCAAGCGAAGGAGAGCAACATCTGCGCGGCAGCAATCGTGGGGCCGGCCACATGTATTATTGTACGATGCCGGGTGCACCAAACACCTATTCGAAGGACGGTGCCGCACCAAATCGGTGTCGATATCTAACAAAACCCCCACTGAGGGGATCCAATCTTCAATCGCCACAACCGTGTAGCGTCCCAGCTCTGCACCCTCGTTGACCAGCCAGCGCAAGGTGGCGCGAACCATTTGGAGACGCTCACGTAGTGTGATGAATACAAGAGTAGGTTCTGCCCCAGCGGCTTCGTGGGAGCGGCGAAACCGCCACACAACGTCAAGCATATCCTCGAGCTGTTCTTTCAGACAGTTCTTCTCCTTACTCACAAGAATCATGGAATCTGTCACCATGTTACCTGCCTCCAGAAAGTAACGACGAGCCTTCCTGACATCGTCACACGCAACCAGCCGCTTGACGGTCTGCAGTGGCTCCCCCGGCGCGATACCGTGGCACATCTTGAGGCGGTGAATCCACTCCTTTTTGCATTCGTGCGTGCCGGGGAAAAGCCGCTCCGCCGGCGAGTGCACGAATCCCTTGTCGTACAGCACCTCGCAGACCCCCTGCGGCGCCCACGGGCGGGCGACAACGGCATAATGCCCCTCCACCGGCACACACCGGTTGATGTTCCCCGCGCGCGCGTCACCATCGACGGACAGCAGCGTCTGGCACGAAATGAAGACGACAATGTTCTCCGTGTCGGCGTCAGTGCATGCGGTCTCCGTCATACCGCCGCACAAAGCTGAAACTCGGGTTCTGTCTGTCTGTGTGGATGGGGCTGTGAGAGAAGAGGTGCGAGTGAAGTCTAGTTAGAGGGCTGCGACAGCGTATAGGACACACAACAGACTGGGAGGGAGCGTGGAGCGGTGAAGAGAGGAGTTGCGCGGCGGCGGAAATGCGTCAGCCAAAATAACACAACGAGCGGATATGTGCGAGTGCACTTTGCACCACACCCGGTAAAGTGGAGATCTCTCTCTCCCTCTCTTCCTAGATATATCAACAGTCTGGCGTTGACCCGCACCGAATTGTGCCCCCACTCCTTCTTTTCGTTACGATGCCTTCTCTCTCTATCTCTTTCTTTTTTGCTCTCTCCTCTCTTTCACACACACACACACACACACACACAGAGACGCATACGCACACAGAAGCGCACAGAGACACCTGCTCCTCCTTTGCCTCCTGCCCACTGCGCATGCAGCAACACAGTCCTCCCGCTCAGGGGGCGAATGAGGACAAGCAGGCGAGCCCACAACAACAAAAAGGATGACTGCAGAGCGGACCAGTGATAAAGAAAGAAAGAAAAACCGTGCGGCATCACGTAGCGCCCACAACAGGCCACAAGGAACGCCGAAAAGGCGGAAGGGAAAAACAACAACCAAAAGGCACTTCCTCCTATTCTCACACGTGCATGTGTGTCTTTGCGCACGTGCATGACTTTGTTTCTGCAAAAGAGGGAAGACTGTCTACATCCCGAGTCATATAGCCCCTTTTTCCACACACACACACACACACAGAGACGCTTTCTCTCTATCTATCTCTTCTCCCCAATCGGTTATTTACATCAAATACCTGGAAGCTCAATCTCGTCATCATTCTCTTGATTTGTCTTCGCTTTGGGCGCCACAAAGGGGGATTTTTCATCGTCGTCATCATCATCATCGTCCTTCGCAGTCTCGCCCATCCTACCAGCCGTACCACCGACGGCGCGACGTCCCGCTGTTGCGTGGGGTGCGTTCTTGGCGTCGTCCTCGTCGTCGCCCCCTCCACCTGTGCCTTCCGCCTCCTCCTCCTGGCGTTGCTCTAACTTCTTGATCTTCTTAAACCACTCATTGGCCTCGTCGACAAGGCCAGCATCTTTACACAGGTGGACCAGGTAGCGCAGGCATTCCATATTCTCTGGGTACTTGCGATGCAGCGTCTCGTACAATCGCTTGGCCTGGACGTAGTCCCCGCGACGCCGGTGGCATGACGCCACCATCAGCTGCCACTTGACCTCCTGCGGCTGGATCTGCGAGGCACGCTCAAAGAACTGGATCGCCTTGTCGTACACCTCGTTCTTTACAAAATAGGCGCCCAACCATGAGATGACGTCCATGTTCACCTGGTAATAGCGGTACGCCTCCAGGTAGTAGTGGAATCCCTGGCTGTCGTCCCCTTCGCGGGCGTAAAGGGAGCCCATCCGCGCCAATATATTCGGATCTGTCGGTACACGCCCAATGAGACGGTTGAACCACTCCAACGTGTTCGGGTTACTCACGAGGTCGTTGATGTCGGCAATTTGGTACATCACCTCGTGGCTGTCAACCAACGACTGCACTCGCTTGAACATCTTCAGCGCCTCCTCGTACAGGCCTAGCCGCTTTGCGGTGAGTCCAAGGTTGTAGATGGCCTCAATGTTATCTGCTTCAATTGCCAGCGCGTCATTGTAATAGTTGCGGGCCTTTTCATAGTCTGACTTCATGAAGAGAAAGTTGCCCTTGTTAACGAGTGCCCTGGCATTGTAGCGGTTGGCCTCGATGCTCATGTCACTGTACTTCTCACCGCTGTCGTGGTCGCCCTCAAGAAAGTACAGGTATGCCAGATTTGTCGCCGCACGGGCTCGCAGCAGCCTGTCTTTCTTTTCAAAGGCCTTGAGGCCGTCAATCGCCTCCTTGTAGCTCTTATGCTTCAGGTAATAAAGGCATTTGCACATCTCTAACTCACTTGCCACATGCGAGGATGAGTCACGCATCTCGTAGTGGCGGAGGCGTTCGATCAGGTAGTCATACCCCGCGCGCCAGTCCTTGTCAATAATCGGGGCTATGAGGCGCGCCGCTGTCATAATGCAGTTTAGGAAATGAGACCGATCCTCCTTGACCTTTTTATGCAAGGCATCATCAACAAGAACATCCTTCTCCTCCTCCTCATTCTCCTCCTCCTCATCTCCACCATGCGTCTTGCAGTTTAGCAACTTTTGGAATGTTCGCTTCATCTTCTCCGGCTCACCCAGGGCGTAGTAACAAAGGAGGAGGTTGAATCCCGCATTGATGTCACCGCCGCCCTCCATGATGGCCTCGTAGCTGCTGACGGCGTCGCGGTACTGGCCCAGTTTCACAAAGGCATTACCAATGTTCCGCATCAGCTTGTAGCGCAGCTCCTTCGACGCGGCGGGTGTCTCATCCAACGTCATGCGGTACATCTTAATGGCGAGCAGGTACTTTCCCTGCGCGGCGTAAATGTTCCCCATGTTGGCGCGCAGCCGAGAGGCCTGCGGGAACTGCAGGTTACGAACGATGAGGTTGTACGTGTTGAGTGCCTCGGTGTACAGTTGGTGGTTCTGGTATTGCACCGCAAGGTTGAAGTGCACAGCATACGTGAGATCGGCGTTGATCTGGTCGGCGAGACCCAGTTGCTCGCGCTGCTTGCAGAGATATCGCTCCTTCTTCCCTGCCTCCTTCGCCTTCTCTAGCGCCNCCCCGCCGTAATCCTTCTGCAGCGCTAGCATGGCACTCTCCTCGACAAGCTTGTGTGTGAGTTTTTCAATCTCCACACACTGCTCCTCCGGGCTGTTCTCGCCGCGTTTCTTCAGCGGCGGTGCGGGCCCCATCGCCATTGCCGTACGCCCCTGCCCAGTGGGGTCAAAGACGACGCCATTGTTGAAGCGCGTCGACGCGGCGTTAAAGCCAACGCCGCGGTTGGAGGTCATCGGGCGGGCGGCGCCGACACTGCCGCCGATTGTACCGAGACGGCTGCCCGGCACGCCCCACGCAGAGCCGATGCTCGTCGTGCCCCATTTCGACGGCGGCGCCTGCATCAGCGGGTTCGAAACGCCGGCGTCGCCACCACCAACAGGAGCAGGACCGCCGCCCTGCGACGGGGGAGCGCCAAAGTGACGCGAGGGCGGGGCGAATGCGCTGTCTAACTCCGGTTCAAAGGCGGCATAGAGGTCCTCCACATCACCATCGTTTGGTGATATTTCCATTGCTTAAGAGGGCTGCGGGGATGGGGTGCGCTTGCTCTAACCCTACCCTGGCTAATTTGTTTATTGCTAAAGACGCTTCTGATTCTCACCACGACACCAGTCAGCAACGCACAGAAAACAAACAAAAAAAGAGCAAAAACATTCACATGGAATCCGTTATTCTCCCTTGGTGCATAAACATGACGGACATAAACGTAGAGAAACGGTGCAGGGACACTGAGGGCAAAGAATTGCAATAAAGAAGGGTAAAGGTCACTCCTTTATACAGTTTCCCAGCACTTTCACCCCCCTTTTCCCCTTATAAAGGACGCTGCATCTGATAACTTGGTAGAGAACTTTGATTAGGAGACGGAAGAGCCTGACTCTGTGCCGCCGATGTGTAGCCCATTCTTGGCGGAGGAGGCAAGAATTGTGGCCCTGGAGACGGAAGTTGCTCCTTATAGTGCTGTTGTGGAAACAGCGTATGCTGCTGATACTGCTGGGGCTCTTGGTGGTACTGCATGTGCTGCTGGTACTGTGTCGGCGGCGGTGGCATCTGCTGCTGCTGCGGCTGCTGCTGCCGCAGTGTCTGCTCAAGAGGAGATTGCTGTTGTGCGAATTGGGGCGCCTCCGCCGTATTCATAGGGGCTTTGGCTGTCTCAAAGTAGTTTGGCACGGCGTACTGCGGCCGGTGCTGTGAATGCCCTCCCGCTGACGGCGTGCCGAACAACCCCTGCGGATGCGCCACTCCCTGCTGCGGCGTCGCAGCATGTGGAAAGTGGCCGCTGCTAGCATACATCGGTGCCCGTCCACCCGGCATAGACATTGGTGGCGGTGGTGGCGGTGGCGGCGGAGGAACATTGCGCCCCTCCCGCTCGTCCTCCTCCTCCTTCAGCCTATGCTCGTACTCCTGCTTGATGTGGGCCGGAGCGTCGGGGCTCACGTTCCAGCGGTTCAGCTCCTTATCGAAGTAGTACCAGTTCTTGGAGATGGGGAGGCCGTTCTCATCCAGCTCCACCTCGTCCCCGTTGCCGGGGCTGCTGGTGTTGATACCGGCGAGGACACTCTCGCCACCGCCACCACTGCTGGCGTTATTCTCATTATCACGACCAAAGACAGCGTCATTGATTTTGTGCAGACACATGTCAAACTTGGCAGCCGTGCCAGCGAAAGCATGGTGGGAGAGGGCTTCAGTCGTCTTATCCTCCGACGCATCGGTGCGCCCATCAATGTTGATGCCGAGTTTAGAGCTAAGCCAGCCCACGGCTTGCAGCGACATACCCGTCGGCTCTCTTCCCACACACGAACACACACAAAAAGAAAGCACCACCAAGGGAGAGAGTGACTGAGCGCACACGGACAAGAGCTTCATTACCAGTGGCGGCAAAGGAAGTGGTATTGACAATTCACAGAGGGTTGTCATAGTTTGGTCCAACCCAAGTTCTTTGCGCTTCGTATTGACACGCATCCGAACGATTTACAGACATTCGCATGGCGACACTTTTTATCAGAAACTGATACAATACCGGCTTCAGCACCACAGCGTAAAAAAGCAGCAAACAAGAAAGGCACTAACTATCCTCATCCGTACAATTTAGCCCAGTTCCCAACGTCTCTCTCGTCGCCACAAGCAAACACTCCTCTGACAAAAATAAATCTCCATCAGGGGTTGTTGCGTCTGAAATGTCTTTTCTCATTTCCTCTTCACTAACAGTCGTCACAGCATCCACCTCAACTCTTGCGGCTGCCTCTTCCTCTTCTACTTGAGTCAAAGACTTCTCAGGAATCATCAGAAAAGCCCACATACCGTTGAAGAGCCCAACACCACCCATGACACAGCAGGCTGAAGAAAAGCTAAAGTACTCAATGATCAACCCACATGCAACGGGCCCAACCGCCTGCCCGGCATCTTGCACCGTCCGCATAAGCCCCATGAATGGGGCACCACCACTAGGCGGCAAGTGGTCCGCTGTAAGCGTTAGCAATACACCAGCACCAACAGAGTCTGCCAAGCCAAAGAATAGAGCAACCAGAATCAGAGATAAAGGAGTGCGCGCCCAAACTAGAAGAAAGAAGGCAAATCCCAGATTCACCGTCGTTGGTATAGCCGCATACTTGCGACCAAACTTGTCCATGATGTATCCGCCGAGGAAGAACAGCGATGCGTCCACGACGAACGACAGCCCCAACACCACGCCAACCATCGAAGAAGAAAGGCCCATATTCATCGCCGCGAGTGCCAGAAGCAGACGCCGAGCCTGCCGTAGGCAAACAATGTTAAATGCGTAGCCGCCAACACGCAGCACTACGTCCCAGTACTTCCAGAACGCGACGGCCATATTCCGAATCTCTGCACAAATGCCACCCCTTTCTTCACCCTCTCCCATTCTGTTGTCTTCCGCGTATATCTTCTCATCCACCGAGACCACGTACGCACAGACGGCACATAGTGGGGCAAGGAAAAATGCAGCGACACGGCAGCCAGCGACTTCCATGAGAGCGCCGCCCAACGCAGGCCCAAAAAAGGAACACCAGCGAAAACCACCACCAAGAATAGACATGAGCCGTCCCCGAATGTCGCGGGGGACGGCCTTCGCAATGAAGACGTGCCGAGCCACGTAGAACGCGCCTATTCCTGCTCCCCACAATACAGACGCAATGACCAAATGAGTAGGGGTGAGCGCGAACGCGGCAATGAGGCTTCCGAGGACGTTCACCATCATGCCGGCCATCATGATCCCGCGGAACCCGTACACAGATGTGGCGAACCCAAAGAGGATGTCAAGGAAAACTTTAATTATGCCCGCAGAGCCAACAATAAAGCCGATTTGACGATCGGTAGAGCCAAGTTGCCGCGCGAAGATGGGAACAAGGGTGGTGCGCACACCGTCAGACATCCCTTGCAAGATGTTTGGGATGTGCAGGGCGGTTGCCCAATCCCTAAACAGTTCAGAGAACGAGCTCATGGTCGCTGAATCACACCAGCGTTGACCTTAACAACAGGAGAAATATGGAGAGAAACACTCAACAAGGGACGGGATGTGTTGTGATCTTCTGGGAGAGTTGTTAATAGGGGCCGATGGAGCGGCACAGAGGCCGTGCGCACCGCAACCTGACCGTTTTAATCGACATATTGGTGTGCAATAGAGACCAACAACGCAGGACCCTCACTTCTCGCCGGGGTAAAGGACACACAGCTCTACGGCAGCAATTCGCTCAAGACACCTCTCGAGGAGGCAACGGAGGGGCTCCCCTTCTGCAGCATTACCACCAGCGCACCGAATTCTGTGCTTGAGAAAGCTGCGAATGCAGGCGAAGTTCCAATTCGTCCCACCAACAAGCATACGCTCCACGTGCTCGTACCATGCAGCGAGATCGTCACCGAAGAGTGCCACACGGTCTTCCACTGTGAGTAGCTGTTGTATACGATTGGCATCCCTGCAAAACGCATCTACCATCCCTTCCACACACCACTCGTTGCACCAGTTGTGATTAATTGCGATTACTAATTCAACACATTCGTTTTCTGCAAGGAGTGCACCATCTTCTCGGCCTGTCGCTATGCTTCCGGTGGGCACACCTGTGCGAGGCAAGGAGAACCGCGGCCCACTCAGGTTATGCACCTGATGGAGGTATTCGCTAGGAACAAATACAAGGTCCCCTGGACGCTGCAGTACTGTCCACAACTCAACACCTGTGGTTGTGCGAATGTCAGTGGGCAGTGCAACACCGTACAACCCATTCTTCAGCAGGTGCCGGTTGCCCTCGGGTGACGGGAAGAACCACAGCTTTTCCCCACACACATTCAGTGACCATGAATACGTTCCAAACACGTCGAAGTGCAAGGGCGTCCAGGTGGCAGGTGACCCAATGTAAGCAAAGCGGTAGTCGCTTCTTTCGTCCCCAAAGCGGTGATATGTGACCTCATCGTCCTCCGGTCCGCGACAAAACTCATCCATCCAGTCATCCCCCAAGTACTCGGGGACAGCATAAAGGCCGTCGCCATGCAGAATGCGTTCACCTCTGTCCGTTTTTTCTTTTATATCAACTTCAGTACATCTCTTTTGTCTCGCGGCGAACTCCGCGTCCGACTGCATGTGCCAGTCCTTCAAATACAGCGTCCTGTCACTGCAGGACCAGCACTCCATAACCTCGGCCAGAGTTCTGCTGCGACACTTCATGTACTCGCCGTCTGAATCATCCGCTGAGGAATCCGTGCTAGTTTCCATCGTTGGCACACGGTGATGGGCACCGAACGTGTGAACCAAGCCGGCAGGCGCCAGCCGTGACCTCAAGCGTGTCAGCGATGTGAAGAATGACGACGATTGGTGTCCAACCTCTTCCTCCCCCTCGCGTTCCGGCACGGCATGCCGAACAATGGCAGGGAAGTTTGGCTTGAGACAAGACTCACGAAACTGCTCGAACGTCAGTGTTCTGCCGTCCAGCTCCAACATTCACGCGGAGCTAACCGCGCGGCCAAAGAAACACAAAATAGGAAGCAAAGCGAAGCGGACGTCCGAGAAAAAGAAAAGAGAAACGCAAATGAATTTCCATGAAACAATAAAGAGCGCAGAGCTGGAAGAAAAAAACAAAAGGGGAGGGAGGAGGAGAAAATTGTATCTGGCGGAAGCCACACGACCACTGCGCCTCAGGGAAGCAGGGGGAGGAGGGTGTTGCTGATCAATGGAGAGAGAGAGGGAGAGAGGAGGAGGGAAGAAGCGCGTGTGCACACCGTCACACAGTACGGCTATGCATGCGCAGCTTTCTTGACCTGCTGCCCTTTCCCTGTTTGAAGACACATGAGGTTGTGCGATAGCGCAACATGACCGACAACCGCGTCCAACTCCATGCGAAATGCCTCCACACACGCGCACGCCTCCAGAAAGACACGGTGCTTCTTGAGGGCCATGAACAATTCATGATTGGGGAACTCCCGCTCGACCACGTCCCTGACCCAGCGCAGCGACGGCCCCAACTGAATGAACTGCGAGTACAAATAGGTGCGTGTGTACAGGTGGGGGGCGGCGTTGTGAGCAAGGCCCGTGGAGGACTTATTCTCTGCGACGGTGATTATTTCATGGGGTGCCGCATTGCCTACGGCTGGCGCTTTAACAGTATTTCCCGCTGCGAGAGCCGCCGCCGCGGACGCAACTGCAAAGGCTACATTCTCGTCGTGCTGGAGTCCCTCGTCAACAGCGTCGCGCAGTTTGAGCAGCGCGTGGCGGAGGCGGCCGTGGTCCGGGTCCAGGAGTGTGTACAGCACACGGAAGTCTGGAAGGACACACAAAGTGGACCACAGATTCGTCAGAAGCGTGCACACATCTGATGGGATCGACAACATAGACGACGTGAGCTCACAGAGCCGCACCACAAGAGGCGATTGGTGCACTCCCTCATGAAACCAAATGTTCTTCCGGGTGTTCTGCGCGCCGTCCACGGCTTGCGGGTCGGGGGACGTTGCTTGAGACACCGTGCAGCTTTCGCCCTCGGGGGACAAACCCATCAAATTCCCGCTCACATTCCTGCAGGAGCGGTTCATGACGCGCTGCCGCTCCTCGAGCAACCAAATGGGAACGTGGCTCTCCACAAGGAGCAGGTGGGTGAGGATATCCTCCGCGATGCACTCCGCGGTGGTCCACAGCAGGACGCCCTTCGGCGCACGAAGCCGCGCGGGGAAACACTCCGCTATGTCCAGCGGCGGGGCCGTTGATGCAGCGGAAAGGTCCACTTCAAGCCCCGGCTGCAGAAAGCAGTCGACGTGTCTGGCCTTGGCCACCACGGGAGCATTGCCCTCTTTTACTTTGCCCTCGGTAGCGCCATTAGAAGGCTTCGCCCGACGCTGCACACTGGGTCGGAGGCCACTCATGTATACCTCGGCGAGGGTGGACATTGATAGTGAGAGCGCGAGCTCCATGAACAGTGCCGGCTCGTACTGCGCAAGGGTGTTGAAAAGGTGGAGGGTGACATTGACGATTCTCCAGTCGCTGTCACTCTCCACACTGAGACGTGGCAGAAGAGCGTAGTCGATTAGTGACACTGTGTTCGACGAAGAGGTATGAGCACCAGCAGTATGCGCGCGCGCCAGTTTCCCCGTCAAGGGGTCCACGCGTGTGCCGAGCAGCGCGCGCGTAACAGTAGATACGTAGAGGGGAGACATCGGGCCCACAGCATGCACCGTCCTCGCTGTCACAATGGCAGCGGCAGCGTACACGGTGTCGTCGGTAGATCGGAACAGAGGCAGGAGCGCCTCACGCACAAAGTTGCATTCAATGATCTGCTCCACTTTCCATTCCTCCGCAACGGCAGGGGCCAGCAGCAGCAACTGCGACCAGAAACGCAACACTTCACAGATGCAGCAAAGTTGTGCTGCAGCATCGTCGTTGTCAGGCACTTTGCACAGAGTTAAGAGGGCTGTGCGTGCTTCTATTAACGTTATCGACACGGCGGAAGTATGCTTCTTCACATAGTCCTGAATGACCGGGTCAGGGCACTTGGCAAGGGTCAACAGGCCTCGTAGCGCTAGCCGACAAATATCATTCCGCTTCTTGGACTCCAGTGACCCATGACGAAGCGTGATGTATTCCAAAAAGGCGTGCAGCAGGACGGAAGGGGCCTCGCTGGCGGAGGCCGCGTCTTGTCCTGTTTCATTCTCGGAGTCTGTTGTCATCGCCGGTAGAAAAAAGGCGGCCAGTGCAGGAACCTGCTCTATCCTTTCAGCTATGGCACACAGGAGCGAAAGATAAGCCTCACGCTCATCGTCGATTGCGTCTTTGCCCACATCTGAGGGAGATGACGCCGACATTGCACTTAAAGAGTTCCTTCTTCCTGTTTTTGATCGTAGCGCCACCCCGACTTGGCGAATCATGTCCATCAGCGGCACCACTGTATTGCTTGGGAACAGCTGCAGCAGCGACCGTGGCGGGTCCCCCATAACCGGCGACCGCGGGAGATCGACTTCAGAGAGCAGGCGCGTTAAGAAGCGAAGGATGATACACCGCGTGCCAGGCGGTTCGTTGTGCTTCGCAAATTGGCACAGTGAGAGCAGGAACGCTTGTCCGATGGCTGACAATCCTTCTTCCGTCTCGGTATTCGCGTCGACAGGGGTGGGGGGCGTCATGTCGCTAAACAGAAACGTGTAACACGGTGGCAGCCGCGCCGCTCCCTCCGCAGTTCCACCATTGCCGTAGTAGACATGGGGTGTATGTCCTTGCGAGGACACAAAAAAACTACTCTTGCTACTGATGCTGCTCACACTCCCCCTATCTCCAAACCTAAACCGTGATACAGCCCGCGGCGGCATCATCTGAGTGTGCTCCTGCAGGAGCGCATCAAGTATGACCTGAAGGGAATGCTCTACTTGGGCCAGACGATCACAAATCTCATCAAAATCGGGCTCTCCCTCCAACATTTGTACCTCCATGAAATAGGCACGAATGCGCACCCACTCATTACCCACGGCGGAGAGCAATGAGGGTGAGGCGCTTTCCGTGCCACCTTCTGTGGTGGGAAGAGGCAGCCCCGCCATGCTCAGTAAGATGCGGGGAGAAGATAAAACGAGAAGCTGACCAACCGTCCGTTCGTTACGGTTAAACGTGCCGGATCGCGGAAGGCCAACCTCTGCCTCTACACACCGACGGATGCAGCCCAGGTTCACGTTGTGTTTCTCCTTACTAGATATGTGTGTGCGTTCGACGTCAAGTGCAGTGTTGAATGAAGGAGAAAGAAGAAGATAGAATATGTGCGCATGCCTCAGGCAAGAACTCGTGTGGAAGCGACATGAATGGGCCACAGATCCCCGTGAGCACCCATGCTATTCCTAACAACACATTACACGATTAGGCCGCCACTCTACAGAAGCATTCGCACACTAGCGCAACGCCACCCTCGCCGTTCACTCATCCTCCTCTTCTTCTTCCTCCTCGTCATTATCAGTATCAGCATCTTCACCGTAGAAATATTGCACTCTGTGCTTAATGTTGTTTCGATTCGGGTTCAACGGCATCGACACCACCTCTTCCTCGTCGTCATCAGCTTCGCCCACACCGCGCCGCGTTAACGGCTCATCGCCGGCCTTTGGCAGCAGAGAAGTAGTCGTGTGCGTCGGCTTGGCGTACTGAGGTTGCCGCTCCACCGCCCGTCTGCACGCCTCCACCTTCTCCTGTGCCGCTGTGAGTCGCTGCCGCCACTCGGGGTGGCTGCGGAAGAAAATCTTGAGCTGATCGGGAGACGGCTTGAATGCAACCGTTGTGCGGTCGGTCACGACAATGATATCCTTCACGCCGAGCCAAATCACCTTGTGGAACTTCCCTGGCACGATGACGACACGCTCCTCCGTCGCCATGGCGCTGGCGTTGTCGTCAGCGTCAGCGTCGCCGTTGCTGCTGCTGCTGCTGGCGGGCGGCGCAACGAGGAGGACGCGCACGTGCTGCCCCTGCGG